TTTGCTTCTATACGCCTGTACCTGGGAGGACTTACTGCCACAGCCAATAGGTCCCACCCTGGAGAAACTTGCAAGCCTAATATCCCCAGGACATCATCCAAGTTCCAGCCCCAAATCTCACCCTTTTGAGTTAAAGCAATTGTGGATGCCATACAAGTGCTGACTTCCTCCTCTTTACCATAGTGTCCTTGGTCCTTTCCCTTTCATATTACTCTTTTGGTTTATTCCTCTTATTAGGTAGCTATCAAGCTACTGACCACTCTCATGACACATGTAAAAGTGTGCTTTCTTAATTTAAAGCCTACACTGAGCTCTATTTTGCTCGATCATACCACCCACCTGAGCTACCCTCCTGTTACCTTTCTTCTTGGTGAGAAACTGAGACTTGTCAAGAGGACTTTCCCTGGGAAGAACATGATATCACTTTAGCATGTGGGCATTTGGGCTTCAAAGGGGATCAGCTTCAAAATTTACCCTGTGATGGTTTCAAGCTTGAGTGTCAGTTCCAAGGCTTTAAATCTTCCAAGCATAATACCCCTATGTGGTCCTAATCTGAAGCCCCCAAACAACCCTCCTGGTAGAAGTGAGGTGTGATGTGAGCTGCCATAGAGGTAGTGTCTTCCATCATACTGGCAACTTCACCATAATGAGTTTTAGGTAGGAACTCAATTATAAATTTCATCCCAGGTAACAACTGGACCTCAAGCAGCTCTCTGGCTAGCATTCTGATATCCCACTTCAACAGGAGCTCACTTTCAGAGTTATAAAATTTGTGATTTAATTTAATGAATCCATTAAATCTAGAAGGGTGAAATGTGATATAATTTTTTGTAGTTCTGGAGACCAAGCCCATGGCTTTGTGCATGCTAGGCAAAGTACTCTACCACTGAGCAACACACCTAGACCCAAGGGTGTTATTTTAATAACACTGCATGTCCAAAAATATAGCCTTTGGCCAAAGTTGTACTGAGATTTAAATAGATGGTTCAAACATTTTAATTATTAAAAATATATTAAATGAATCAAACCACTTATACAAATATTTGGTGAAAAACAAATATACAAATGGAATAAAGGAGAAGAAAATTGATGAAGATAAAAATGTAAGAAGTCATAATTATATTTAAGAATCATGAGGACAATATGTTCAAGAAACATCTTTTTAAAAGGAGAATATAATTGACACCCTCTTGTAAAATGTATTCAAAGAAAGCAAAAGGTTTTAATCAATCCAAGAAATGTGTGTGGGAGGAGAGGGGTGGGAGAAGTAGAGAAGGAAAGGATGAAGATTTTAAAAAAGGGAAATAAATCCTATTAAAGACAAATCTGAATGAAATGAAATAATTATCCTGGTGAACTGGGAAACCAAATAGTCCTGTTGTAGAGACTGTTACACAATTTTTACCCCCAACTGGGTTCTTTTTCTCTCTTGAAATTGTAAAACCAACAAGAAGACTAAGCACTGATTGAGCAGTGAATGATGCTTTATTCTTAGCCAAGTATAGAAGAAGCAGGAGGAAGGATTCACAGATCAGCCTCTTGACCCTTGGGAGTCAGGAGATTATTTACAGACAGTAAAAGAAATGAGGAGAAGGCATAGGATAATAAGGCGGGGTGATATTCACGTCTTTATTTATTTATTTTTATGTGGTGCTGAGGATCAAACCCAATGCCTCCTCATATGTGTGAGGCAAGTGCTCTGCCACTGAGCCACAATCCCAGCCCTGAATGAGTGGTTTTCTATGAATATGGCTGCCACCTTTTTTTCCCCTTTGCATGGTTCTTTTATGTAGGACTTTCTCATGACAATTACAGACTGCCATGATATTATGGTTTGCTATTTAGCCTGCAGGTGGGATTATAAAGAATTTAAAGATTAAAGGCTGTGTCTAAGGCTGCTATATTAGATTCAACTGGTTCTGGCTGGCTTACCTGAAGAGGACTTCAGATATCTGTCCTCAAAGAGAAGCAAGATTAGGGCAGGGTAGAAATTTAGTTAAGTCACCTCTGCAGTACATTATTAGGATAGGATTATAAGGACTGGTGTTGGAAAGGTCCTTTAAAAGTTGACACATGTATACAAACCCGAACAGTGAAACAGCACAGGAAAACATTTCAAAATCAACTTATTGGAGGAAAAATAAAGCAAGAAATGAGAAACAGGATGAAGTTGAGCATCTGTTGTCCAAAAATCTGAAGTCCCAAATGCTCCAAAAGCCAAAACTTCTTGAGCATTGACATGACATCACAAGTGGGAAATCATCCATCTGAGTTCATGTGATGGATTACAGTCAAAAGGCAGCTGTAGTAAAAATATCATATAAGGACCTTCATGTTTGTGTGGAACATTATGGAACATAAATAAATTTTACCTTTGGTCTTGGGTCTCATCCCTAAATAACATTATGTATATGTACAAATATTCTAAAAATTGAAATCTGAAACATTTCTAGACTCACACATTTCAGATAAGGACTATTCACCCTGTATAAGAAAATAAAGTGAGGTATTTAGAAATATCAAGTCAATGTTTTTCACATTTTCTTTTTCAAGGATCAATAATCAGACTCAAGATAGTTACTTAAGAAGTTATGCACCTGAGGAAATCCAAGAAAGGCTTACAAATCACATCAACTCAGACACAGCTGCTGATCAGTTTCAGGATCCAAGGTTTCAGATATTCTAATGATGATCTTTTTTTTTTTCACTCCTACGATCTGTAGTAGTGTAGTTTTGTTTTTGTTCACTGTAGATCTGTTTTTCCATATTGAAATAACAGGGCACACATATGTTTCATCTCATATCTTTGGTCATCAAAAGACATATTGAGATATTATCTATGGGACCTATTAAAAAATCCTCGTAAAGATTTGTGTGCAGTCCCAACATGGGACTAACCAGTTGCTGACAAAGAGAATCCTGTGAAGTTTCCACATATACATATGGAAGGAGGTAGCAGAAGTAATCAGAGGAAGGAGGGTCCTGGAAAAACAGATAAAAGGACATAATCATACAAGTTGTGCTAATAAATGTAACCATCTTTATCTTATTGAATCTTAATGGAAAAATTAAAATAAAATCAAACAGATTCAATGGAAGTGGAAAAATCAAAAAATCTATTAATATTAAAAATGAATGAATCAAACTAACTGTTCATCAAAGGATGAATTAATAAAGAAAATGTGATATGTGTATCTATGGAATAGTATTCAACAATAAGAAAAACAGTATTCTATCATTTGCTACAAAATGGATGAGTCTAAGAACACCATCATGTTAAGTGAAAAAAGTCAAGCATAAAAAAGACAAACATTTTGTGATCTCACTCATATGTAGAAACTGTACTGATTTCATAGAATTAGAAAGTAAAATAGTGATTATCAGAAAGTGAGAAGGGTAGTGAGGAGGGAAATAGCAAGAGATTGTTCATCAGCAATCTCTATTTTGTACATAATACAGCTAGTAGGAATATGCTCTAGTGTTCTATAGCATGATAGGAAGATTGTAGTTAATAATTTGTTGTATATTTAAAAATGGCTAGAAGAGAGTATTTTTTAATAATTCTAACAGAAGAATGATAAATGTTTGAGGAGATGGATATGCTTAATTACTCTAATTTGATCATCACACTGGTATGCATATATCAAAATATACCATTCCCCATAAATGTGCACAATTATTATGTTTCAAGCAAAAATGATTTAACAAACATTCCAATGATGTTATGTTTATTAATTTAAAAAAATTCAAATATCACATGTATTGATATGGGATTTTCCTTAACTACATTCTGAATGTGTCCTTGTTTTATAAACACTATGATTTGGTAGGGAGGGACTACAACAATTTTTATTGGTATTTCTCAACATTCCAATCTCAGACATCCTCTTCACAGTTCCCACATTTTCTTGAACAATCTCAACTGCTCTCTTTTTCCCCCCTCCCCCATTTGCTTATTTCAATATGAAGATTTCTTTCTTTTCTCTCTCTTTTTTTTTACTTTCTTATTGTTTTATTACCAGATTAAACAATTCATGATTCACCTAATAAACAAGAATGATGCCTTTCTCACAGAAAGTAAATTTGACATACATGAAAAAGCATTTTATAGATAAAATAGATGCACAGGTGTTTTACATTCCATTCCTAGGAGATTGACATTCCTAGATCACTATGTTTTCCCATCATTGTGGATATTCTGTACAGGAATAAGCTTAAAGGTACAAGTGATAGAGGTACTGCTGAGGGGTCGATGCCTCTGTGCATATTGGTCTGTCTTAGTGCATACTTTTCTGTGCGGCATTCATGTATTCATTAGACATGTACTAAACTCCCATGTGTCAGGAAGCATCCTAGCTACCAGAGATCTCTATCCTCAAGAAGCTTATCTTTTACTGGTGTATTTTATTCTCTTCTTGTGTCCCTGATGTCCACTTTATCACCCCTGTCTGGACACATGAGGCATTCCATGTCTGGGATTCCCTGTGAGAGCTCATTTCATTCTGTCTTCACCTCTTTTCCTTTCTTTCCTTTCCCTCATTTATATGACCTTCCCACATTAGTTTGTTTTTTCTTTCTTTATTCGTTCTAATTAGTTTACTGGTACATAGGAAACTCAAGTTTCTGCATGCACCTATACCTGTCTCTGGGACTCATGCCTAACTTGATTCTGGATGTACTCAGGTGAGCATTTCCTAAAAACTAGATTTCACTGTCTGAGAAACTTGAGCTACTATCTTTCTCTTAAACTTCCTCCTTCTCCAGTGGTCATCCATCTCCCCTTGCCTCCCCTCACGACTTTCTCAACCAAACGGGAAATTTAGGGTCAATATTACCACCCAGGTTCTACAGACCCTCCCGTCGGGCTCTCCTCTGGCCCCTCCCGCCCTGGCAGCCTGGCCGCTGCTCGCGGACGCGCAGGCGCACTGTCCAGTACCGCCGCCGCCCCGCCCCGCCCTGCCTGCCGCTGCGGAAGGCGCTTCTCTCCGCAACGCGCACTTCCTCTCTTGGAGTCCGCGGAGGGAGAGCCGGCTCGAAGAGCTCCCGGAGACAGAGGCCCTGCCCTTGTCAGACGTCGCAGACATGTCCGAACAAAGTAAGGACCTGAGCGACCCCAACTTTGCAGCGGAGGCCCCCAACTCTGAGATGCACAGCAGCCCTAGGGTTCCGGTAGGGGTCCTTCCTCCCGCCTCTCCCCCCGCGACCCTCGCAGGGCCACCGAGCCCTCCTGTAGGCCCGACGGCCTCTCCTCAGGCCGCGCTGCCGCCCCAGGCCCTGAGCGAAGAGGAGGACCCGAAGATCCTGCAACAGGCCGCAGAGGAGGGTCGCGTCTACCACCCCCCTGAACCTGCCCAGCCGCTCCCACCGCCGCCGGCCCCTGCTCAGCTAGTGCAGAAGGCTCACGAGCTCATGTGGTACGTGCTGGTCAAGGACCAGAAGAAAATGATCATCTGGTTTCCAGACATGGTGAAGGATGTCATCGGCAGCTACAAGAAATGGTGCAGAAGCATCCTCAGGCGCACCAGCCTCATCCTTGCCAGAGTTTTCGGGCTGCACCTGAGGCTGACCAGTCTCCACACGATGGAGTTTGCGCTGGTCAAAGCACTCAACCCCGAGGAGCTGGACAGGGTGGCGCTGAACAACCGCATGCCCATGACAGGCCTCCTGCTCATGATCCTGAGCCTCATCTATGTGAAAGGTCGTGGTGCCAGAGAGAGCGCCGTCTGGAACGTGCTGCGCATCCTGGGGCTGAGGCCCTGGAAGAAGCACTCCACCTTCGGGGATGTGAGAAAGCTTATCACTGAGGAGTTCGTCCAGCAGAATTACCTGAAGTACCAGCGCGTTCCCTTCGTTGAGCCTCCTGAGTACGAGTTCTTCTGGGGCTCCCGAGCCAGCCGCGAAATCACCAAGATGCAAATCATGGAGTTCCTGGCCAGGGTCTTTAAGAAAGACCCCCAGGCCTGGCCTTCCAGATACAGAGAGGCTCTGGAGGAAGCCAGAGCTCTGCGGGAGGCTAATCCCAGTGCCCACTGCCCCCGCAGCAGTGTCTCTGAGGACTAGAAAGGTCTGGAGGCAGATTAATGGTTTCTGACCATCACCAGGGCTGTGGAAGGGTGGGGGTGAGTCAGTCATTAGAGTATTCAGGATTTACAGTGCAGTATTTCACGTGTAACTTTTAAGTTTTCAGTACAGTGCTTTTATACCTTTTAATGCAATGTTGTATTCATTTGGGTACTATTGAGTAGTGTTTAGAATTTATGCATGTTTGTTTATAAGTAAGCTCAGTTGGTGCTTTCGCTTTTGTGCTCTTTCTTGGATTTTTTTTGTACCAGAGATGTGCTAAACTTATGAAATACATTGAAAAAAATTTCCATCTTATTCTTTTATATGGGACCGATGATGTGTGTTGGAGTGGACTGTACCTGGACATTTGGGAAGAACTCACCAGCAAAGCTGGCCTAACCAAGAGAAGTCAAGGGCCCTCTCTGTATGACCTTGCTGGGCACAGTGTGGAATGAACTGATTTGAACTGAAACGGTCTCAATGTGGGCACTTGGCACACTTTATTAAACACATATACACCCCTACCATGAATAAACTTTAATGTAAACATTAAAGATTCTTGTGATACAATCATTTTTTGGAAAAGTGTAACTTGTCTTGTTAAGAAAGTAGTATAGGTGGGAATGAGGGAAAGAGTTTATTGTACAAAATGTACATATATAACAATTTCACCTTAAAGGATGGGAAATTACTACTCATGGGTATACATACATGTGTGAAGTTTATAGTTTTATTTTTTAAAATGTGACTCATGTTTGTTTTAAAAACTTTGACACATATGAAAGTTAAAATAATAACTGGCACTATGTAGGGTAATTTTCTACATTTTTGCAAAATTAACAGCTGACCTTTGCGGACACTTAAAAAGTGTGAGCGATTATACTTATGCTCTTTACAGGACTTTCACCTTTTATTCAGTCCTCACAAGAATAACCTTAATAGGTAGAAACATATTACACCAACACTGAAGAAAATGAAGGAACAAAGTATTGGCAATGAATTTTCCATAGATCATAAAGCTTATTCAAAGAAGGAGCTGGGATTTGAACCAAAATACAATAAATTTAGAGCCCAGAATCATCCTACCTGCCTAAAATTCCCTCCCTGCCTTCTTGCATTTATTTACTTTTTAGTTCCATGTTAATTTGCTCTCTTACTCCCCACCCCCAACACTCACATGGGCTCTGTCACACACACCCTCAAACTAAGGATTTTATTTTTCTAATTATAACAGTCTTTTAGAGAAAACAATATTATGGCTGTATAAATTAAGAAAGTGAATTTCAAAGAGACTAATTGACCTAACCAGGTCATATTCCTGTTTAGCACTGAAGGCAATATTTGAAACATAATTTTTCTTAAGGGTTGGAGATGAAGGAACCTTCTCTGATAAGTGGTACCAGAGGAACACACCTGATACCTGGAAGGGGGAAATGGAGTTGGGGTTGGGAGATTGCCCATGGCCCAGCAGGTCTTCAGTGGCAGTGGGACACTAGGTAGCCCCTAGGAGGGCGGAATGGGGTGAGGAGAGATGACTGGATAAATTTCTCAGTATAAAGCTTTCAATCCTGGTAGAAGGAGGGTCTTTAAATTAAAGGGAGCTTTAATAAGATTGGAAATCTTTTAAATCAAAAAAAGTGGAAAAGGATATTTTACCAACCCTAGAACATTTTCTGTGGAAGACAAATAACAAAGGGAACATGTCCACATCCAAAAGAAGTAAACTGGGAGTAATTTGGGGGTGAGAGAACTGATTGATGGATTTGGAGCTGGATTCCCAACATTTAACTAGCATAATTTAGCAGGTGGATGCAGGTGCTGAAAATGCTTTAAAAGCCCCATATGTGCTGAGATAAAATCCATTCACAATTTACTAGCTCCCTATGAATTCTTTTGTGGGTGTGAGGTGGGAAATAGGGACATTTCTGCAATAACCCAGGTAAGGGTGACTTGGCTTTAATGTCACCTATAGCATGGAATCAATGTAAATATCATAGCTGCTTAGAAACTTGGGGATCACTGAAAAATCTTATTTCTCCACAAACCACCAAAGACAAAACAAATCTATCCCCTTTCATTTAAAATTATGAAGCTGTCCAAGATATTCTGTTACTAGAGCAGGGCCATCTCCCTCATTCCTGTCATGATACCGTCATTTTCTTTAATATCCTAAAACTTCTGTCACTGCTGGATTAACTCCTTGCAGCAAGTGTAACTCTTGTACAATATTTAGTCAAACCCAGAAGTCACCAGGCAGACAGTACCCTCACCTCCACATTTAACTCCCTATATTTGCAATCATGATCCTCTTTGCTGTGGGAGGCATGGAAAAACACACAAGGTCACCTGGCACAGGCACTCTAGCCATGCCTTAGAGGAAAGAAAGTTTGCAGTAGGGCAGGATTTTGAAAAAACAAGGAGCTGAATCCAGCAAGACACATGTGTAGAGCTGCTCCACTGTTCTGTCTCAGAGACAGCCAAACAGACAAGCAAGCTTTGCAGATGTGAAATAGGTTTAACTCATGACACCTGGTCTGACAGAGACAGCAGCTTGGGGAATAACTATGTTAGATTTTTCAGGCTGGACTTTTAACGGTTGTAGAGTTTGCCAAATATTTTGTAAAATGTTTGTCTCTGAAATTCTGGGATGTTTGATTCAAGAAAGCATCAGTGGATTCTCAGTCCAAGATAATGGTGTAGTGATGCTCAGACTGCTGTGTCTGGGAAAGATTTTGCTAATTCTTTATAACATGTAATTTTTACTGCCAACTGGAACCTCATTTCTTTACAAACACTCATACACACATTTTGTTTTAATTAAATTCATATTATTAAAGTCATGGAGGGCAGAAAGGACCTTTGGAAATTTAATATTAATTATGATGATATCAAATTTAAGCTTTCTTGGGAGGAAATGAGTGACTTTAAGTAGTGTCAACTAGGAAAGAGCTGTTTTTTTTATTAGTTGTTCAAAACATTACATAGCTCTTGACATTATCATATTTCATACATTTGATTCAAGTGGGTTATGAACACCCATTTTTCCCCCTTATACAGATTGTAGAATCACATTGGTTACACATCCATGTTTTTACATACTGCCATACTAGTGTCTGTTGTATTCTGCTGCCTTTCCTATCCTTTACTATCCCCCCTCCCCTCCCCTCCCATCTTCTCTCTACCCCATCTACTGTAATTCATTTCTCGCTCTTCTTTTTTTCCCTTTCCCCTCACTTCCTCTTATATGTAATTTTGTATAACGATGAGGGTCTCCTTCCATTTCCATGCAATTTCCCTTCTCTCTCCCTTTCCCTCCCACCTCTCGTCCCTGTTTAATATTAATCTTCTTCTCATGCTCTTCCTCCCTGCTCTGTTCTTAGTTGCTCTCCTTATATCAAAGAAGATATTTGACATTTGTTTTTTAGGGATTGGCTAGCTTCACTTAGCATAATGGAAAGAGATGTTTTAAATGAACTGATGCATTTTATTCATTTCTCTGCTTGATCAACCAGTTGTGCCTCCCTCTACCTTGAATCTTACCAGGCCAATTTAGAAGCACCACCTCCTAGATCTCTCTGCTAGCCCTGAGAGCACAGCCATGTTCAAACTCCTCACTCAAAATACACATGCGATTTATAAGTGCTTCTTGACATTCTATTCCAGTATTGTTAAATACTTAAGAGAGTGAAAACTGTAACTGAACTGTTAACTATTTCCCTGATGCTTGACTTGGAGATTAGCATATGGATGTGCTCAATAAGAATTTGTTAATCAGGTGAAGAAACATTAGAAAAGACCTACCTTTGTTTTCTCCTACAGGAAAACAAAGTCAAATATGGAAAATAACAATCAAACAATCTAAAGCTTAGAAAGTATAGATAAGTTGAAATTAGTAAAAGAAAACAAAGAATTCAGAAAAATAGCAGAAACAGAATATTGTTTTCAATTGGTTTCTTCAAATATTCCAACAAAAAAGCCAGTATTTAGTTTTGTTTGTTTGTTTGTTTATGTTTTAAAGAATGAATACTACAAATAAACAACTTCTTGCTAGGTAGATGGACCAGTGACAAAAATAGGTCAGTGTCACAAAGGTAAAAACAAATATAAGTGGGAAAATGAAAAAGAAAACCCAAAACTCATTTATTAAATCAAGATACTTTATTAATTAATGAAACATATAGTAAAAGTGAATATCTGGTACTAGAAAGAGTGAATTGAAATTGTCATTCTAATGTCCTGTTATAACCACATATAACCACATGTAATGACCACATGCTGTCTTATGCACTAATATGCATATTGAGTATCTAATATGTTACAGAGGTAGTCAGTACTGGGAGGTAGAGATGAAATGATGAACAGAATAGACATTGTCCTGTGATCACAGTACATTCACAATGTTGAAAGAAACAACTGAATAAAAAGAATTATACTTCAGTACAGTGAGCGCCATTCTAGGAGAAGTATGAGGATAAAGAGGCACCACAACTCAGATATTCCAAGAGAAGTGTCATAAAGCATATGAAGCATCTATGAGAAGAGAAGTAACTAACAATGTGAAAGAGGTGAAGGGAAGGGTAGACTCAGCAGGATGATTTCTTTTTGTTTGGGGACCTGCTGTGTAAATACACACAGAATCCTGAGTCCATACATTTTATGGAAAAAAATTGTAAAAAGAAGGTGGGAAATAAATTTATAATCAGGATATCTAAAACATACTTGTTTATATCTTAATTTGCCTCATTATTTTTTGTTTCACCTGTTCAGGGGTTGGAACCCTTAACTATATTACATATGTTCCCACATCTGAATTGTGTCTTGTGTTCCATTATTTGCCCACCTATTTAATATGTAACAATCATTAAGCTTTCATTGTTTGATGTTTGTGTTAGTCAGTTATCCCTTGCTATGACAAAATCCCTAAGAAAAATAAGTATAAGAGGGAACAGTTTATTTCAGTTCATGATTTCAGTCCTTTGATTTAGGCTGGAGGCAAGGCAGAACATCATGGCAGATAGGGTGCAGTAGAGGAAAGCTGCTTACTTCATGGCAGCTGGGAAACAGAGACAGAAAAACAAAGAGAACAGGGACAAGATAATCCATCCCAGGACATGCCTCCAGTGACCTACTTCCTCCTGTTCCCACCATATTCAACTTTGCACTCATCAATGGATTAATCTATTAATGAGATCAGAGCCCTTATGATCCAATCACTTCTCCAAAGCTCCACCTGTGAACATCACTGCATTGAAGACCAGACCTTCAACACATGAGCCTTTGAGGGACATTCCCCCAGACTCAACTATAACAATGTATAAATTTACTTATTTATATATTTATTTAATAGAAATTCACTGAACTTCACCCTGTACTGGAACTCAAAGATATTGGTGAATTAAACAGAGATGGCCCCCTATTCACTGCACACCCATTAGTCACTTAATAGTCATCTTTCTTATTAAATCAACTGTCCAGTATCTTAGTGCTTCTGTTTAAATAATCCATATTTTACTCAATAATAGTCCCATGGCACAAGAGTAGTGATACTGGCAATCTATTACAGCATAATA